TTGTTGGCTCTTCCCAATTGCCAATATCTCTATTCGGGGTTTGCTAGTCTGAAGCCATTAAACCTGAAACTCCATGTAGCCAGGGATCATACTCCAGTAACACCATACAACCTGGGAAGTGGTGAACAGGGATCACCCAAAGAGGATACGGCTTTTTGAACATATAATATGAAATTATATAGGAAAACTGATCAGGTGCTTATAAATGATTGTAAAGCACCCCCTCTCTTTCAACAAATTATTTGAATGAACCCTATTCTCCCTATACCGGATTAAAGGTGACGTCAGCAATATAAGCTTAAGTGGAGGTAACATTTTGTTGGTTATAAACAACTGTTACTTTTTGGCATTGTACAGGCCGGTGACGAACGGTCATTTGGTGAAATGTCTGGAGCGGCTTCCTCATGCCGATTTGACTTACTAATTATAACAGAATATTAGCGACAGTTGGTCGAACTCTGAGCAAGTTTAACCCGGCAGTGAGGAGTATAGAATCATGCGAGTGTCGTGGCTGTATACATGTAACGCTGATGCAAAACTAATGCATTTCCAAATTTGCTGCGTCCTTGACTTTTGACGGCAGGCTTTCAGAAACAAAGATCTTCTGCCAAGTACAAATATTTTCTTACCGTTTTGCGCTCATGTGTCTGGTCCAAAATAAATTTTGAAAACTCCATGCTATTCAATCCGCCACTTTGCACGAAATAGGTGAACAAACGCAGGAAAGATGGAGAAAATATTCAGTTTCATCACAAAAGCAGGATATCATGACGCGTCAAACTAAGACTGTCGCAAAAGTGATTCTACGGCATTTAGCCTCTTGCTTTTCTTCAATTATGCCCGGATTCTATAAGCCGTCGTCGGGAAACAGCATCTCCTTGAGAGGATACGTTTCAAAGGGCCCATAAAAAGTGTTTTTTATTATTTAAAATCGAAAATTTCCGTTTTAAACGATATCCAGTATGTCAAAGTTGCTGCTTATGATGAATAAACGGGAGGGAAAAAAGTAATTTTTTTTACAAACGGTCCACGGAGAGGTATCACATTAACATAGACAATTTGCATATCTGTGACGCTCATTTGAGAAGACATAGTTGTGTGCCGCGAGCGAGTCAATGCTTGCAATGGGTCCAGTTTAGAACATTCCTTCTAGCTTTTTGGTGAATTAAGAGATCACGCCGACCAGATCTGCTGGCGCAGCCTGGGGCAACACCTATAAAGATGAGACAAGCCTGCCTTAATTTCCAACTAAAAGCGAAATTTGGGCTAAATTGGCGATTGGAGGTCAAGGTGACCAGGGCCAAATGGTCAGGACCGACAGCGAACTCAAAACTGTTCAGTCTACATTTTGAGCCACGGTGTTTTCTCCCGAATATCTATA